CGACTTTGTAGTACAACTTTAGTACGCGGAGTATCTGTGGAGCTGGAAGCTGAGAACTGGCGACTTTCTAGTACAACTTTAGTACGCGGAGCAATCTGTAGAGCTGGAAGCTGAGAACTGGCGACTTTCAAGTACAACTTTACGCGGAGCATCTGGGGAGCTGGAAGATGAGAACTGACTGGCGACTTTCTAGTACAACTTTAGCACGCGGAACAACCTGTGCAGCTGGAAGCTGAGAACTGGCCACTTTGTAGTACAAGTGTAGTACGCGGAGGAGTCATCTCTCGCTGCTGAGTCAGCTCTCGCTGCTGTGAGTCATCTCTCGCGACTGAGTCATCTCTCGCTGCTCAATTATCTCTCGCTGCTGAGTCAGCTCTCGCTATAGCCATCTCTCGCGGCTGAGTCATCTCTCGCTGCTGAGTCATCTCTCGCGGCGTGCAGGTTTGGCACAGTTCATACTGATAGTATTTGGTTGCATTTATGCAGGACAGGACATTCAACTGCTGGTCAATACACCACTCATCATACACCACTCAGCATACACCACTCATCATACACCACTCGTCATACACCACTCATCATACACCACTCGTCATACACCCCTCTTGTCGTGGCAAAGATACAACCCAGTACGCTGTTGTGAGCTGCTGATCCTGCAGGGGGCACACACCTTACACACGTGGAATCCCGTGGGTTTGACTGGAGGACGCGCATGTTGGAGAGAACGTGGACACTCCTATAGGTCAATTTGTTCTTATAGGAAACTTCCGCCGCCGGCTTGCCCGGGAACTGCTTGTATACAGAAGATCATTCCAGAACAACTTGGGAATCTGGTCATCTGCACCCGGCAACCACAGCCACGCCTCAAATCGAAGCACATCACTCAACTTTCTTACCACGCGACGTGACTTCCTCACTATGTGTGCTTGCAGGCCAAAAGGCATAGTGCGTGCTGCTCCGGACGCATGCTCGGACCACCTGTGTGGCGATTTCAGGCCAAGGTAAGGACAATATCAGGTCACCGCCAAGTCAGCAAAAGAAAAATGACAAACAACAAGAATTCTCCAGTTCCATTGGCGCAAGTTCTGCCAGCAGATGCTGCAGCAACCAATTCCCTTGAAGAGCAACGCACACGCCACGCACACGCCACGCTCTCTCTCTCAATCTCTCTCTCTCTCTCTTTCGGGTCTCCCAGGGACCCGAGCCGCTTCACCACAAAGGGCATACGGTCCTCCAAATCGAAAACAAGATGCGCAAGGGGCGGCTGGGTTCGGCACATGGCCCATGGCACATGACAGACATGTTCATGTACTAATGTCAATGTATGTAGTGTCGTCGCATGTCATGAGACGCCGGTGAAGACAAGTTCAATACCTTAAACCCTAAACCCTCACACAAGGAGTTGTGATGTGTTGAAGTTTCCCTGGCAACAGTGACCAGTTTGTGGGTGTCTTCTTGGGGGTGCTTCTGCACATGATCTGCCTCCCTGTGAACACTTACCCTGCTTGATATTTTTTGTGAATGACCCGTGATCACCCCTGTATCTGAGAAAGATTCTCCGTTGAAAACGGCTCACCAGCTGGAAGCGAGCCTGCAGCTGCAATGACTACAAAGGCCTGCCGAACGACCTGCAACGAACCAAGGGGCGACACAAATGCGAAAGGAATGGAGAGCAAAACCGGGCCCACCCCTTTCCAGATGTCTCTCCTTATTATCTTTATAGTGCGGCACGGTGATTGCGACAGGGATCAGGAGCTGGAGGCTCGAACACCAAGAAGGTGGAGAGGCGCACGCTTCACCCAATGGCCGTCCGTCAACCCCACCTCCTCCACTGCGTCGCCCTCCGCCACGAGTGTTGTGGGCGAGGTGCGGCAAGAAGCAGCCACTGTCCTTAACCTTGGTGGACTGCCGAGGCCAGCATCACGCGAAGGTTGAACTGCCACAAGAAGAACGAATCACAAGCAGGATTGGCCACCGGTTTTTTTGGGGCAATGTATGGCATCTTGAAAGACATCCCACCACCGCAAACACGCGTTCTTCCGTGTCCTCGCACCGGCGCTTTCCGGACGCGGACTCGAGTTGAAGACTTTTGCGCGTGGCGCCCGACCAATGCCCACGCCCGGACCTGGCAGACTCCCACGTCACCCTCACCTGTTGGAGGCCCAAATGGCGGGGAACAGCACCACTTCAGAAAGGTTCAGAACGGAGGGAGTTCTCTCTCTCTCTGTATATATATATATAATTGGCACATGTCACCACATGTGTCCATTCCTTCCAGCTTTCCGTGGTGCAATCGCCTTCGCTTGCCCAGCACAGATCAAAGAATCCAAGTGTTGCACCATGAGCCGTCCTGACAAATGTTGTGCCAAGATAGCATGTCTGAACTTGAATCAGTGGCCACATGAAGCCAATCCTGTGAAGCCGGTGGCCCCCAGGATGACGATGTCATAGGGTCTTTCGACGTTTTTCTCCTCAGGTTTGCGGCCACCAGAACCAGCGAGACTCTTAAACACCAGAACCAGCCTCTGGAGCTTGGATGGCCGCCTTCTGCCCTGCACGGACTTGCCAGCTGATGTCTTGCCGTAACCGGCGCGAGTACACACAAAACTTGAATCTCTCCCGCAGGTACACGCTGAGGAAGGACGATACACTATGATTCGCTCTACTCTACGTCGGAAACTCCTCAGCAATCAGCATCGAATGGCTAACCAATTTCCCCCTCTCCGAAACTACTGTATAGGTGAATTTGAAACCAATGGTGCGTAAAAACTTGGCATCCGGGACGATACAGATTGAACAAACAGTCCAAATACACCCTGCCTAGTTTAGGCGGTGGCTCGCCGGCAAGGCTTATCCGCAGGACATCGCCAGAGACCTTCTCAAACAAAAGCCAAACAATGCTAACAGAAGGACATGCTACTTGCCACTTTGGCGACTGAGGCTGGAACGCGGTAGCCCCACCTCATCCAACACTGACAGTCACAGAATTCACTCCCTCCATAACTTCCGCTTCAGGCGCCCACGGGGCATCGGGCTGAGCCGCAGAGCGCTGGGCCGGCGGATCCACGCCCAGGAGCCGCATCGGGACACCCAGGCCGACCACGCGGTTGGAAAGAGTCAAGCTGAAAAGGTTTGCTGAGGCTCGTTGGCACAAGGACCTAAGAGGTACCAGGTATGGTTTTGATATGGAAATGCCAAAGCAACACATGCCAACTTATTGCGGTGGAGGTCATAGTCTTGAACAAAAAACTGCTGACAATCAGGCACCACCCTGCAGTCTGTTGGTGTGCACGTGTGCCTGCGCAAACATGCCCATCCACAAAAGCAGTTCCCATGTATGGCATCGGCTCTTTTGGTTCTTCCGGTGGTGCAATACCATACTGTTGCAGGAGCACCTGGCACCGCTGCTCTGTGGTGTAAGGAGAGCCCTGCAGGTAATCAATGCAAAGCCTGCAGAATAAGCCGCACGGGTCGGTTCAGACAAAGGCACAGGTTCTCCATTTGACCCTAACAGGCCAGAGCCTGATCTGAGCCTTGTCGATTTCCCTTAACTTTCATCTAGCTGTCCAGAGGCGGTTTTGTTGTCGAGGAGGGAGTTCCTGCCCATCCAGCTCACCAAGACATCAGTTGGGGTGATTTCGGTGGTGGCTTAAAGACCATTCTGGCTACCCCCAAGAAAAAGGATCTTCCTTGAGTTGCCCAGGGTCAAGAATCAAGAAGTTCACGAACCCCAGGCTCCACCCGGCTACGACCCTCCACCCGCTGCCGAACTGCTCTTCCTCAGGCTCCACCCGTCGCAGTGTCCGCACCAGGCATCGCTGTGGCATGTCCGGGTCGCTGGACACGAAGCCTCAGCCCGCACGAAGCCTCAGGGCCTCGAACCTGGTGAGGCAGCCGAAAGGGGTTCACCAGGTTGGTTTAATTAGAAAGCCCGGAAGGCTCGGCTGTTGGACCAGATAGTGAATAGTCCAGCTGAGCCTTTGATCATGGGCAGGATGTTCAGAAACATGGTTTGTCTTTAAATGCTTGAAGACTTGACCTCCTTCAGAATCATTGGCAAGGGCACGGGCCGCAAAAGAGTCATATGCGATCCTGCGATGTCACGATGTCTTTGTTCACCTGTCAGCTGGTGCCATGGTGCTTCCCACCAAGTTCTGTATACAGAAGTAATAGTCCCAAACGATATTAAACATATTAAGATATATATATTAAGCACATCCTCGGGCCTGTCCCAGGTCTCTTGAAAAGGTTCTTGAGTAAATTGTCTTTGCTACGCACGAGCAACAATTGGCTTCTCCATCATGGTTCATGGCGGACGTCAAGCTGTAGATTGCCATTCCCCTAGCCAAGTCCTGATCTTCATCCTCACCCACCTGGGACGGGCGCTCACAGACTCTCAACGCAAGACAAGCCCATCTGAATCACTTGGGGCAGAGCAAGAAAATGTTCTTCAGGGTGAGTATGGAAACTGCCGTGACAAACCCAGATCTGTTTTCCGTAAGCACTACCAACCACACACATCAAATACCGAACTTTTGCTGGGAAATGCGCTCTTGACAGGCTTCTCGAAGTTGCCGTCTGAAAATGTAATATGATGTACATAAAATGTACGATGCATTTGCTTCTTCAGTATATTTACCAGCTTTGGGATGATGCCGGCGCTCGCCTCTATATTGGACGGCAACCTCGTGTGAAGCACCAGCACCACCCCCGATCCTCTCTCTCTCTCCCACCATCCCACCCATGCCGCCGCCCCACGGCATTCCATGCCTGGCGAAAGGCATGCAGCGCCATGGCATTGACCCTCAAAAGGCCCATCAGACGGCCCAGCGGCTCCGGCCCCGCACGCAGCAGAGCCTCTGCCAAAGAGCCTCGGTGCCACAAACAGGCCAGGTTGGACCGGTACCGTCGATGAGGTGGTTGGTGGACAAGGGTGCATCTCCCAATGCGTCCTTTGTCGCCGAAGCGTGGGAGGTTAGCAGAACTGCCTTGGCAATTGTGTGCCGGACCAAGTGTCCTTTCTGCGGGTGTCGATTCTACCGGCAGAATCGGAGACAAAGAATCCGCACTGGCGATCTGTTCGGAGATCAAGACCCGGCATGTGGCGGGCCATGCCGTCCCAACGACAAACTCCAAATCAACACCATGGACGACCCACCGACCCAACTCTCCACAACGCACGAATGTAGTACATAACTAGAAGCTAGTAGGTGGAGGCCATCACTATTAGGTTGGAAGCCATTGCTACTAATAACAAGAAGCTATATACTAGGTGGAGGCCATGTGCTCATTTGGTCATCCCAGAGGCTCACCTGACCTTCCAGCACTGAGAGCAGCTTTTGGCCCATGTCACATGTCTGGTCGCGCACCGTCGACTGGAAGAAACGATCCAAGGACGCCTGGACACGGGGGCTTCAGAACCTCCCAATTGCCTTGCTCTCACCACCACGTGAGCTTGGGGCAGCAATGACATGTTCATATTTCATGCTGTCCCGGGTTTGAAGAGCACCTTCACCACTCGAAAACTTGCACCGCCACCGCAACCGCACCGCAACCACCTCGGTCTCCTCGGTCCCTGCCTCGTCCTCCGAGTCCAGGTCGGCGGAACTGGACTCGCCATGCGACGCGGAACTCTCGCTGTCCGAGTCCTGCATGCCAGGTCGCTGCGGCGACGGCGGCCGGGTGAGTCACGGCAAAAGCACCCGAACCAGGTGGTCGAACTGTGTTGGATCCTGAAGTCACGTTCCAAAGATGGTGTAGTACAACAACTCCCTCCCTTTGATGCGTGACGACAATGCTGAATTGGCCTCTAATCTAAGTCTTGCTCATCTGCTCAAAGACCACCTGTGGGATTGGGTGTATTATATAACTAGTAACTAGAACGACCAGAGTGGGGCGCTGCACCAACCCAAGCCATTTCATACACCTTTCTCTTCTTACAGGAGAAGTGGATCTCCAAAGTTCCAGTAGTTTTGACTTGAGGCGTTGCTTCCCACATCTCTCCCATCCCAACACAAAAAAGGTAGGAACACCAAGCCCGCCGAACACCCTGAGCAACGCCTCACCCGCCGATCTCCACCCATTTAAAATGATTGCTAATCAACTCAAACCAAGGCTCCTCATACTTGGGCCGTTTCATGGTCTCCCACCAGGCAGGAGAGGCATAGCCCGACCAAGGACTCTGCTCCCTCGCGCGGCCAGAACCGCGCAGCCGACCATGTTCGAGCGTGGACGTGGTCAGTGGGGGTCAGTTGCCATGAGGAGCTAAAGCAATCTTTGCTGGTAGAGATTCCACACATGCAGACTGCTCACGGGGAGAACTGATGAATTACTCTCTCGTAATTTTACAGCATGTCACCAGAATATATTTTTCAGTCCGCAGCTGTGCATCTAAGACGCCAAAGATCCTCCTCCAAGGTATCAGCCCTCAAAGAGGCCAGCGCCCTAGCCGCCAGGATGTAGTACTCATTGCAACATTCGCGCCTTGGCTGCCAGTGGCCCCGGCGAGAGATTGGAAATGCACTCAAACGCTCATGAAAGTGAGCAAATGGCCTAACAAAGACAGCCCCATGCGTTCCAGCAAGCTGGACCTATTCCTTGAGCTGATCATTTTCTGGTGGATGCTGATGATTACTACTGTTTGACCTTGATGGCAACTGTTGGAATCTGCATCGCAAACAAAAGTATATATATATATACAGATGTAGATATATATTATATATTGTGTAAACATGTATGGACCAAAAAAATCTACAGTAAAGTCTGAGTCGTCCCAAACATGGTGAGACATAACTCAGAGTCCCCGTCTCTTGAGCGTCCTAGCCACTGCGTCTCCACAAGAGTCCCTGAGGTGGGAACGCTTCTTGCTCGAAGTTGGCCCAGCATTCGTTGGCGCCGCACAGCACGGAATGATGCGCCCAGGCCTCTTCTCGGCAGGCCTTCGCACCAAGCAACAACCAGGTCAAACCAGGTCTCTCAACGAGAAATCAACCGTTGCGGGAACCAGCCGCGCCCAACAGACGGCAACGGTGTCGTGGGGGGGGAAAGCCAAATCGGTGTCAAATTTATCTCCAACATAGGGCTCCAGGCATGGAAGCAAAACACAACTGCCAAACACCCAAACTCAAAGTCCTGGGATTTGACACACATCACCCAACATCCTCATCTGCAAAATCTTCTGTCGGTTCAACCTGGAGTACGTCAAACGACGGGGAGGGACTTTGCCCCGATCCCTGGTGGCATCTGGCCACCTTCGTGCAGTAAAAGGCCCCGCAACCGGCGGCACAGCAAACGGATGTGCCACCTGCCACGCAGGTAAATGCAAGTGACAATGGAGAAGCATAGGGTCCGGGTGGCCATGATGTCACGCCAAAAGATATTCTTACATTTTTTGGTCTGTGGTGGTAAGTTCGTCGGAAGATTCCTGTGGAACCACTTTATGAAGGCTCTTGAAGCAGGCCCATCGCCACGTTCACACACCTCTTTGGCAACAGTACAGCCTTGTGCTGCCTTCACATGATGTGCGCAAATCTGTGAGGTTCCCAAGATTTCCTCCTAGCAGCCAGAGCCAGCTACCCACAGACATTCATCAGACCGAGTAAACTGCGTCCCTGGAGCCTTCCAAAGTCTCGGGTAGAAATCGCATGCAGTGCTGGCAATGCCGCCGCCCATTCGGCTGGTCAAACATCAGCAGCGCCATCCCACAAACAGGGTCTTCTTCAAAAAGCTCTTCGCCCTCACTCGGAAGGAGGCAGGTGACAGCCAACGTTACAGGGGTTGTGTGCCAAAAGGGTGCTGAATGCTCCCCCAGAAGGACAGTGGATGAGGCTCCAAGAAGCGAACTCACCGAAACGGCCTAACATGGCCTAACAACTTCAGCACCACTCCTAGCAACCGACGCCCCTGCGGCCCCATCCAAAAACATCCCCCAAAACCGATCATGCAACTCAAATCGGCGAAACCCACATGCGATCTCGAAGAATGCGCGCGGCGCGCGTGAGATCTTTCTCCTCCCCGGACCTCCTCCAAGGCTTTGGTGGTGAAAAGCCCCAAGCCTTTGCCAACGCTCGGGCGGATCTCCAGGCCCTCGCGGCAGCTCCGCCGCCAGGAGGCCATGCAGCGCGGAAGCGGCAGCGGAAGGAGCGAAGGTGGGGAGCTTTCTCAGCGGAGGAGGTGGGGAGCTTCTTCTTGACTTCTTTGGAAAGACACTCATTGTTGTGGTTGTGGGTGTGGTTGTGGTTGTGGTGGTTGTTCCAGTCAATGGCTCGCCTTCGATACGTAGAGCTTAGAAATGTCCATGATACTATTGCAGGGGCTGCTGGTTCGCTCCTGTCAGGTCGTGGAATGCGACAGCAGCCGAGAGAAAAAACACAGGATCGAAAAGTCATGCTTGTGTAGCAAGAAGTCGCATCAACCTCAATGCTGCTTGTCGATTATCTTTGACCAACGCCTCTTTTCAAAGGTTCTCAGTGCATCAGATCAAACTCTAGCACTGTAGCTGTCAGGAGTCATGAGCAAGTTTAGTCAACCACCCAACTCGCCCACAAGTTCGCTGTAGCTCTCGCTCAGACCACGATCTCTGTGCTCTTGCCGTGGGCCCACGTAGCATCAGGAGAAGAGCCCACCACCTGATCCTCAATACCGCCTTCATTGGTGCCACGACGGATGCGGAAGAAGCCCTTCTCTCCCCAGTATGGATTCCAGGAGTTGGCGATCTTCCAGTACTTCACCCCATTGTCCACTCCCCAGCCCACCATGCGCACAGCATGGCCACCAGCCTCAGATCCTGAGACGTGGTGATAGATGCCGTGGGTGTACAGCTCGAAGTCAGAGTAGACGGTGAAGGCAGTCTCGACGGGACCACCCTGCATGATCATCTGTTGGATGGCCTTCTCACCTCAGGGGGTGTGGATTCAAAGGCCTTTCACGGAGCATACCGATTTGGGGGGGGGGGCGTGATCTGATGATATTTCGTGTTGATCCATGATCTCAAGCACCTGCCTGAAGTTGTCTGGGTCTTCCCCTTGTAGCTGTACTTGTCCTGCTTGAAGTCGTTGTGAGGAGCCTTGGCTGTGGCATCACACTTGGTAGGGCCAGCGGGCGAGGACTCAGAGGGGCAGCCGGGCTTGCCCTCCGCAGGGTAGGGATCCTTTCCCTGTGGGCCATGATGGTGGCAATGTGGCAACGAGAAGTCGCTGCAAAGGCCTTTTCCAAAAGGACCAGTGCCTGGAAGGGAAGACGCTCATCCGAAAACGCTCTGTTCAAACCTTCAAGCCGATATGCAAACCTCTTGCACTAACCACAGGCACAACACCACAAGGTGCTACCATGATGCCCTGGTACTGCCCACCGCTCACAGCACCCGTGGATTTGATGTAGCTCCAGGGCCTGTCAATCATGCCACCATCGCAGCCATCAGGGTTGGCGTTGAAGCACACATCCTGCGTTCAGGGGAGGGGTTGAAGCGGGCAGGGGGCGCAACCCAAACAAACCACAAGTAGATGATGTCCTGGAATTTGCCAATCAAACTGGACCCTTCCACCGTGGCAGTGGGGTTTCCAGACCCACTGCTACGAGGTGTCCTGCGCACTGATGGGCACCATGGTCTTGCCCTTGGTGGCAATGCACATTCGGTCGGAGGCCGCCTCAGCACCTGGCGGCTGGTGGAGCGCTGGCGTGTTCATGCAGCTTGGGTGCCGTTTTTACTCCCATTGTGGCGGATGACCATGTGCAACAGCTACAATCAAGAGCGCAAGTTAAATGGCTAAATCGTCTACCGACACGACGGCATGGGCCACCAATGAGACGGCTGGAGTTCCCAAAGCTGCAATGCCCGGGCCACTTGCAAGGCGACCAGTGCAACGGCCCAACAAGCCAGGCCAAAGGCTCGTCCAAAAGACTGGCAACACCAACTAGTGAACTGCCCCCTAGTTACCCCTCACACCCCTTGTTTCTTTCCTCTCTCCCTCTCTCCCTCTCTCCTCTCTCCCTCTCTCCCTCTCTCCCTCCCTTCCTCTCTCCCTCTCTCCCTCTCCCCCTCTCCCCCTCTCTTCCTCTCTCCCTCTCTCTCTCTCCCTCTCTCTCTCCCTCACTCCCTCGCTCTTTGGCCTGCGAAAGCCCAGCAGCACCCACAGTTCGATTGGTCACCTGCAAGCAACAAGTGATTGCTTCAGCGTGGTTGCTTGAGGTGCATCCCCTGTGTCGGCCTTTGGGGCACCATGGTTTAATGGAACAAAAATGTTGTACTTCGAGCGAACCACCCTCAGCGGCGCTTTGAAACAGGGCGTGCCACATGCATTGACACACAATCCTGACACACGGTGCCTGACACGTGCGTTGACACAATGTTGACACGCGGCTTGGCATCAAATCATGTCTGGCACGAGTTCTGGCAGCGCACACGTTCTGACATTTGTCCTGCCGGTATGTGTTCCGTCATGCGTTCTACCATGTATTCCGACATTTGTTCTGCCATCAAGCCGGCCACTTTTTCCGACATATGCTCTGACATCGAGTGGTTCCGCATTCTAAGGGATAAGAATAAGAACACCGACATGGTAACTTGGCATATCTTCTGGCATCCTTTCCGGCACTCTAGCATTCTGTCTGGCATGTCTTCCGATCTGGCATCTTTTCTGAATCTTTTCAGCACCCTTTCTAGCATATCATCAGCCATTTTACTGGGGTATCTTCTGGCATCTTTTCCGGCACTTCATCTGCTGAATCTTATCCTTTCCAGCATTCTATCTGCCATATGTCTGCCCATTCTATTTGGCATGTGTTGTCGCATGTGGTGTGCAGGTCTATGCGTGTGCAGATTGAACTTCTTGCTGTGACACGAGGATGGCGTGGAAGCAGGTTGCTGAAGTCTAAAGACCCTCACATGGCAGCCGGAGGGGGAGGTCCGGCACAGGCTGAGCCTTAATGTTTGTTTTCGTTCGTCACGTTGCGTACAGTTCGGAGCCCCTAGTGGAACCGCAACCGCACATCCAGCTTTCAGTACAACCTAAAGTTGAAACCATAAACGCCACACGCACGGACGCCGTGTCACGGATGTCATTGATGATCTTTGAGCATTCGGGCCACTGCTCGGCCGAGTCGAAGTTGTCCGGAAGGGTGGCATCGTCCACGAAAAGGACACGCTCAATCTCACCACGCTGAATGGCGGATTGGATGGCCTGGAGTACCATAGAAAGAAAACGATACACGAACAAGTGCGGGTGCTTCAGTCCAGGGGATTAGCTGTGCCAGAAAATCATGAACATCCCACCTCAAAGGCCTCATTTCCACTTCCAGTCTCCTTCCACGCAACCCCGTCCCCTTCGCCTCCGAGACGTTTCCCTTGACGCCGTAGATGCGCGAGCTGCCCGGTTTCTCCGCCGCGAAGCGCTCAACGATGCCCGGGGTCCAGGTCAGGCCGGGAGCTTGCTGGAGCTCCGACAACAGCGCCGCCCGCTCGGGGTGTACCTCCAGGCCTTGCGGGCACCAACGGCCGGTGGCATCACTATAGGGCACTACGCGCGGGCCGATCAATGGGGGGCTTTCCAAATTGTCTTACGGCAACCCATGACATACAGTACCTGTTTTCGGGGTTTTCCTGCATTCTTTCGTGCACCCTTGAATGCATTATATTGAAATTTCCTGGGCCCCTCGACTACTCAACTGCAAACACAACCAGCCAAAAACAAAGCTCAGGGCCTGATGCTGCCCACAGCCCAAGTCCAACGCACAAAGCACGAGCCATGGACACAAATCAGAAGGCAGTCGAATTGATGCTATGCGATTTCTTCGAGCCACAGCTTCACCGCCATGTTGCAGCATGCATTGTGAGCCTGGACTTGCACTGCATTTGGCTGAGCCCCATGCGGACTACTTATGCCAAAGCAGCTGGTATGCAAGGCAACACTGCACTGCACGTGTTCAACCAAATCCTCAAGATTAAAGTCTAACAGATTTTATGGGTCACCATGTCCTGCGAACTTGGATTTCCACAATAGTACGGGAGTGACAAGGGGGCAGTGGGAGGCCCATGCACATGGCAGTTTCCACGGCATCTTTGGGGCCCTGGCATGCCAGGCGGCCATGTGATTTCATGTGTTGCGAGGCCACCATGACACCCAGCCGCAGGTGGTAAACCAGTTCCTCAATCAAGACTTGGTGCCCTTGCAGCCCCGCCCGTTTGTGCACCTGCTACGTGATGTGCCAGCTAGCGGACTGCCAGCACTAAGCGCCTGTGAAGCATTAAAAGCGTCCGTACACATCCACGGTGACAATGTGTACCACACATCACTCCAGGGAAATGTTCGCAATTCTGTCCCACCAATCATGGGGACAATCCTGGTTGTGTTTTGAGGTGGGTCAAGGCGACAACCTGTTCGGCTGACGGGCCCTACAGCAACGATCCAGGGATGGAGAGAACAGACGAAATGCATCGACTTGCCGTTCTTCCAGTCGGCAAGGAAGGTTCAACTCCAACTTGAACGGCCAGATAATCATGGTGCAACTGCCTGGTTTGCGACGGTGAAGCGGTGATAAGTATAAGTGATAACGTTTCTGCGTTCCAAAAAATCACTGAAATTGAATGAATTTCCTTTCCGCACGGGACACACGCGAACAACCTCGCGCAGCACCAGGGCCACAGTATCTGCCATCAAACGGGTTTTTGTTGCGAAAGCTAGCTCGGCCGTCCACCAGAGCGCGGGCCCAATAGGGCAAACGGGCGCAGCCACATAAGTTCGTCATAGTTCGTCCATTCTTCAGGGGTGGTGGGGGCTTATGGCGTAGCGTTTGCAGGAGACATCCCTCACGCCAAATCCAAACCCTAGAGTTCAGTCATTGGAATGGCTGACCTCTGAGATCGGCCCAGTGGTTTATACACGGCCATCCTGGCTGGATGAACTGGCTGGGAACTTCCTTTCAACAAGAAATTGTGCACGGAGCAACTGAAAGTTGAACAGGACAGACCGGAAGTCACAAATACTCGCACCTGGTTTCTATTCACAATAAGTCTGAAAGCAGGAGTTTGTGTTGCAAACTGCCCCCATCACGCCAAATAAACACACATCTTGCGACGAAACAAGGATACGAACACAACACTGTACAAAGCACTTCCTTTCTCTTGACGAGTGACGAGGTGGGAGCGAGGCGAAAGCAAAAACAAAGCGGAATTTAGTTGTTTTACTATTTTAGTTCCTTGATGTCCTCTCGTGTTCTTTCAGCTGTTTGATATTTGTTTGTGTCTGTTTTGTTTCTGATCAGTTTCTGCTCTGTTTCCTGTTTTTTGTTTTTGGGGAATGGGGGTGGTTTGAGCTTTTCTGATAGCCGCAGCAGCAGCAGGAGGAGGAGGAAGAGGAGTAGTAGTAGTACTAATAATAGTAATAGTAGTAGTAGTAGTAGTAGTAGTAGCCGGAGCCGCAGCCGCAGCCGCAGCCACAGCCGCAGCCGCAGCCGCAGCCGCAGCCGCAGCCGCCGTAGTAGCAGTAGTAGTAGTAAAAGTAGTAGGAGTAGTAGTATTATTATGATTAGTAGCAGTAGCAGTAGCAGTAGCAGTAGCAGTAGCAGCAGCAGCAG